ATGACACAGACCTTTCTCGGACGTTGATTAAGGACTTGGACTAGTTTCAACTCGATCCTATAAGGATCGTCTTCTGTTATCACTGATAACAGTTCGGTTGCCGATTCGTCGGTCTACGACTCAATTCCAACACACTCTCCATACCCAACCTAAAAGGGTTTTTGCCCAGGTGACTTTACTGTTTGTTAAGGGTTTCACCCGGACTCTTATTGAATGACCATTTAACAAAGGTACTTAGTATTTAATTATGGTTGGTTGGATAGGAAATTGGGGCTTGTATGGATAAAGCGAAGGGTATGAGTGTGGAGATTGGTTGGGGTTGACTCCGTGCAGTGCGTGGTTTGTTGTTCGATTCTTTGATGTGATTGCAGGTAGGTCCTGTGATTCGGATTTTGGATTTGGATTGCCTGCGATCCCATAGATATGTACATATGGTCGTGAAGAGTCTCACTGTGCCTGTGAGAAGTGATCGTCGCAACTCTATCTCCCTTATGTGTGTATGCTTGGGTGTATTTACGGTGGGTGTTCGTGAGGCCTAGGGGGCCCCGTACTAAAGGCATACTCAGAGGGTAAGACCGAGATGGACACAAGAAAAACTTTCCTTTTAGTCATGTTGCTCCTTGGGGGTTTTCTTAGTCGGACGTTGGTCCTGGGCCGGGATTCAAGGTCCTTGTCCACGACATCCCTGACCCTAAGCTCTGTAGGGGAGGGACTCCCCCTCGTGCAGAGCCTATCTGCGCTGCCCGTCGAGACACCCAACCCTGGAGGTGGAAGTGTCTCGGGGGCCGAACGGCGTGTCCTTCAACCGTTCAATATCGTGAGGGGTAACCCCTCGCGATATACTCCTTCAACCATTCAATATCGCGAGGCCGGAGCCGCGATTACCACGTATGACTGGCATCGTTGGTTGGTATGGGACTGACCAGCAGCCGCGCGGCTTTATGTTAAAAATCCTGCGCGCGACGCTTCGCCGCCCCAGCGTCTAAAAGTTATGGGATCGCGGGGCTCGCACGTAGACGCGAACGCTTGGGATTATTGTAGGCCGCGGGCACTACTCGAAGAGGGGGAGGGTACCCCAAAGATCATGACCCCTTTTGGAACAAAGGAATCCTCCGCCTATTCGTTTTTGCTTTTTAGAGTTTTCATGGTTGGACATTATATTCCGTGGCAGCCGTCAAAGTCAAACCCCTTGACTTTTGTTCAGGCCTGGAGTAGGACTTACCTCCAGGGCCGCAAGAAACGACTGTCACCACAGGTATGAACCTGTGTACCACCCGCTCTGCATAAGGTGCAGAAGAGGGTGTGTGGTCTTCAACCGCGCATGGCGGTTGTCTGGCGTCGAGAGATTAACTCTCAAGGCGCCTGTCAGCTGACACTTGAGTGTCGAACGCGACCCTCGAGATTAACGAGGGTCGAGCGAGTATGGGTACTACATAGTACGCCATCGTTGCGACTGATTGCGTATGTTGCATTGCTAGTCGATATGAGTAGACCCGCGCAGTTTTGTACTAAGTCTCGCGCGCGGCGCCTATCTGAATTCTGTAGTGGAAAGTTATGGGATGGCCACTGAAGGGGCTAGGAGCATTGTCGCGTCGTTTGTTTTGTGTCGTTTTGTGCGTATGTGTGTGTGTTCTTTTTGTGTCTTCGTAGAGTGGTGTTCGCGTGGTGTGTGGGATGCGCCCTAGTCGACCGACGACGAGCCGCGCTTGGGACTTCAGCCCCCCAAGATGTCGGTTCGCATGCAGGTCCGATAGGCGTATTACCGCGCGTACCCCCTATGCTACAGCGAACGAGAACCCTCGGCTGGTCCACCTCTGCGATTGCAACTGAGTAGCTTTCGTACTGTGGACTGGTAGCTCGGCGGGGATATGCCCAACGAAGGGAGGTGACAGCTCCCGTAAGGTGGAGGTAAGTTGTGCCTCGCGTAGGCCCTATTCTGTCGTAGGGGCTCGCGAGAGGTATGGCTGGCGTACTCGGCCGGAGCGGCCTAAGGAAGCTTCATTTGTGTGTTCGTGACGAGGTTGGTCCAACTCCTGCGTGACGCGGCCGAGATGGTCCCGTGCTGCCACGTGCGGTGCCGGACCGATGCGCTCAACACCGGTACCATCGATCTTTTCATTGTGCCCCTGTCGCCGTTGGAGGCACTCAGGGGAATTTCAACCTGCCCTTGCATAGGCCGTCTGCCTGTCTGCTCTCTCTCTCTCTCTCTCTCACTCACACACACACACACACACACACACACACACACACACACGCACACACACACACACGGTGACACATTCAAGTCTCGTCT